GTGTTTAAATTATTACATTAGTTTTCATCTCAATGATATTTTGTGTAAACTAAACTAAATGTCAAGATGGTGAAGATTTTTAGCACAGGGTGATGATTTTGATGGAGTTTTGTTCTCTGAGCTGGATGGTTTGGTCACGGAGCTTTCATCGTTATTTTAAACGACAAACTTCAGGTAGAAGTGCTGGTGATGTCATTTAGAATAATGATGAAAGCTCCACCACCAAACTATCCAGCTCAGAGAATAAAACCCCATTAAAAATGTAAAGATATTTATACAAATGGAAACTATGAGATTGGAGAAAATAATTTTCAAATACACAATTCTTTGTTTACACAATAAACCTATAATAGATCATAAACAATAAAAATTTCATTAAGAAATAATTTGCCAAAGTAAATATGATTGAAAAGAAAAAAAAGTTGATGAATTATTGACAGATCAATTTATTCTATTCTATTCTCAAATTTCATTAATTCAAGTTTATGTATTAGTTTTCTTGTTCATTACAAAACTACACGAATAAATTGTTAAAGATGGTTAATAGTATTAATGAAATTAGACCAGTGGAAAGAAAAGTGATGAATTTGTAGCAGTATGATTGATTATTATTATATTATGAATTTACATGAACTAGATATGGTTTATTATAAACGAGATTAGAAGAAATCAGGTAAGATACCAAAACATCAGTAAAACAAAATTAATGTTTTGTACTGGTTGTTTGAATCTTTACATTGATGTTTAGGACTGTAATAGATTAGTCTCTGATTGCCTAGATATTCCTTTAAACCACAAGCATGATAAACAGAGATGGATGGTGTCAAGAATTAGAATCCAGGATGGCATTTCGTCCTATTTGGAACTCGTCTATTGAATGTATTTGGATCCTAGAGTTGATGTTCACTCCGAGACTTGGACTCAGTACCGTTCGTTTCAAACGCCATCGCATTATCCACTTAGTTACCAATGTTAATAATAACTAAATGCATAAATAACACAATTCTATTCTAACACTTGTCAAACTAAACGTTCAACTTTCTCCTTTCCTTCTGGTGTGGAGAATATGACAACGTAAACTGTTAGGAACCAATGTATGAATAAGGAAGTGAACAAATTAGCATATATGGAGATGGAAACGAGAAGCTGTTTTATCGATCACTAAATCTAACCTCTAATGTAATCACAAAATTTGATATGGTCCGTTGATATAATATATATAAAATTCAGGCCTTTTTCAGGTGAAAGAGATTGGATATTCGCAGTATGAATTCAATTTGTTATGTTAAATTAGTAAGCAACTAACCAAATATATAAGTTAGTAAATGTATAATATCAAATTTTCTAATGGTATAATTATCTGACAAACTGGTCTCATCGTCATACGTACTATTTGACCTGAAACAAACAGGTGGGCAGACATCGAAATAAGAGAATACTGACAAGTTTATCAAAAATAGTCAGACATGAATCGGGGTCATAAGCACTACAGGTGATCTTTAGTCACCTTGTAGTATATATATATATATATATATATATATATATATATATATATATATATATATATATATATATACGTCTCCAGGCTGAAAGTGCACATGGATTGGTAACATAATAACGATTTACAACTCAGTTAATTCATTTTCGGTAATATTCAAGACTAAGGTAGGGATAACCCTTTCATTTCATAAATCACTGCAAAAATCAAGTCTTATTGTAAGAATAAACCACATTTATCAATCCTAATCTGATATAATGTAGAAGGTAAAATGTCTTAGGTCAAGAAAAGCAAACATCAGATATTTAAGCAAAAAAAAACAGAAGATTAGTTTAATAAATAAGCATGGTAAATAGGCAAACAAGTGATAGTCTTTCAGGATAAAAACGAACACAATAATAGATGATATATGAAAGTAATTCTAAATACCTTCGAGATATTATATTGTATGACTGAAAAATAAGAATCAGGATATTTGAAGTAGGATGGAATCAAAAAGATGACTTTATTATTTAAAAGTCTAATAAAGCGAAGAAAAATTCGTTTAAGTACAGTGCTTTGCAATATATCATTTAAAAAAGAATTGACTTGAATGTCCTACAATGTAACTATGTATATATTCAGTCCTTCATAATCATTTGTTACGTACGTGTCTTTAAATACCAATGAAGTTCGATAAACAATTTTTAGATGTTATTCACGAGTATCCAACAGTGTATGTAAACAAAATTATGAAAACTTCGGTGGACGTTTTCAGTGGAAAGTTATGTCCTAACAATAGGTAGCGTACTATCAACAAGGTGTGCGGTACTTGGAGAATACAGTCAAATTACTAGAAACAAATGTCAGAACTTCCATTAGTTTAAATCTTGTCAAGATGATGAGTAGGACACGAGTTTACTAGATTCCCCAAACTAATGCACCTTGGTAAAATATCCTGAAATTCCATACGATAAGCACTCATATAGGACGTGACAGTCAGATATCGCTACTTCTAGGACCAGTTAATGCTTGCTAGAGACAATACTGGATTTTTTCACTTAATGGTAGGTTAGATTAGAGCAAAAACACCAACCACTGGGTCGAACTTCAATGATCCGACAGAGTATACTAACAGCCTGAAGCGAAAGCCTTGGCTCTTACAGTAGACACTGTTAGACAGTCGGAAATTGAAACAAAGTTTTCTGTGACTCACAAAGAGCCTTGAAATTTTCTAATACATAATTAGTGTTTCATTTGAACAATAACAAAATTAAAGTTTATCAGTTGATATAACTATATATTTCTTCGGGATTCAGTTGGAATAAAAGTGGAACCACGAACGCAAGTCTACTATGATGATTTCGGTGGTGATGAAATAATCCAATGAAACCGAGAATGGATGATAAAGCATTACGACTAGGACTATGAGCAGACAAAAAATAACTTTTTGTTACTGAGTATTATTCAAACGTGTAAAACTTTCAAGTTTGAATGGAATTAATCCATCTTATTAGTAATATCGCATGATGCAGCTATTTATCTCTATTGTTAGTTCATTTAAAAATAAACTGAAATTTCAAGTCACGTTTAGTAAAGCAATCAATCGATATGTCTTTCTTTTTTCAAAACCGATATCTTGTTTGTTTGATGATAAGACAAATATTTAGAAATAATTTGAATTAGTCAACACATTTTGTTGGCCATACACCTAAATAAACTAAACTTTATTCGGTTGTCGCATATCTTATTCATTAAGATTATTGGTAACATACAAACACATCTCGTCACTAGTATTAGTTTGAAAATAGAACCGTCTCCTACTAATCAAGATGTATAGTAACATTATTATTAATATTAAAGATGTAAACATGCACCTGTCACAAGATTTAATTAGAATAGATTGACATTTCTGTCATGTTGAGAGAATTAGTAATCAATATTATAAACCTAGTACAGAATATATTAATCTATTTTATTGTGGTAACCTATGTACTAATTTTTGTACTCATCTGAAATACACAATAGGCCTTTTGGAATAGGTTAAGTACGGTATATTCAGTAGAAAAGTTATTTGAATAGTTTTACAAATTTAATAAATGATCTAGTAAGTATGATCCCCAGTTTGATTTTAAAAAATCTTTAATTAACATGAACATACTTGTACAACAGACTATAGGTTAATATGATAGAAGAAAATATTGGTCGGTTAATAAGAAGTTATGGAGATAAATTTGTAAGATAAACGAAGCTAAAGATTTCCATTTGTTTAAATATTGAGGGAATAACATAAACTATCATGGATTTCCCGTCCCGATTAGTTTGATTCTTAATCACAATAAAAAGGTAAATATCAGTTTAGGGGTTGTGGAGATTGTTAAGTTTTTGATTGAGATCATGCACCGATTGATGTTAGACCACCATTGAAAACCTGGTTAAGCGTTCGCGCGCGAGACTGAGGGCCCTGGGTTCGAGTCCCGCGAGCTGGATAGTGGATGAGCACTTCTAAATCCCATAATAGGAAGAAACGGCCGTCCAGTGCTTCCAGGTTTTCAATGGTGGTCTAACATCAGTCGGCTCATGGTCTCAACCAAAAAGGTAAATGTTGAGTGCTAAAAACAAATTCAAGAAATATTGTCATAAATTTCTACAATTAAGAAATGGAACTAACAATACATAACAACAATATCCCAGAAGAAAGACTGATCCTACTGAATTCCTTGAAAATAGATTTTGATATGAATCTGGAACACAATGTTTCTACATTGTTGTTTTGTTTTTCGTGAAAACTACCGCATTACAGAGGTTAACTGTTTCGTAACCACTAAGGTCAAGTAAATCGATTAATTAGCCACCTCATGGAATAGTAACTAGTGAACGAGTAACTAGTATTTCTATTACTTAATGCCGGTTTTTTAGTACGCATATTACATAGCTAGTCTCACTTCCATTGAGCTTTGTAAAATGACAAACTAAGTTAGAAAAATTCTGGAATGAGATCTGTGTTTAGATACATGACAGTACTTTGGACACATTATTATTGTCCTCACCTATTACGATCCAATCTCTCAATCATATAGTATTCATAACCTGCCTTCGGAGCTTTGTACAGAGAAGCAATTAAATAGTACACAGATGCAGTTATAACCATCAAGGTAAAAAGCTCATACCAACAAACAATTAAGAGCATCCATTAAATTTAAGTATTGTGTAATCAGAAAAAAACGACCAATGAGTCAATAAATTGAGACGACAAAGAATATTTGTGATTAATGAAGAGAATTTGGAAGATGTGTTTTCTAAAAAGGATGTTTAAATTGTGAGGCTTTTACGGTTTTCCTAAACAACATACTACAAAAACCTACAAAAAACTGTTATTCGCTTGTGAAGAAACATTAATAGTTTGTTTCTGCTTGAAGTATGAAATGATAATAACTTCCAGAAAAAAAAGTGAAGGATTTATGATTAAACCATCCAATTTATAGAATGAAGCACCAAAATAAGAAAATGTGTGTATATTTACCTGAACGGGACGTGTATTTGCTGTTATTAGAATTGACATTTGATTTTGCTGGACATTTACAATAAATTTTCTGAAACTGACTGAGTTCTAATTTTTCAACTTGAATAATCCGACCAGGCATAGCCCATGAATTGGCAAATTTATTTGAACTAGAGAAACAATAATGATAATTAGTTATCCACAAATTTCGTTCAGTTAAATATAAATTCCTCAAATTCAAAGTCAGAAGAGAAATTTAAGGTTCATAGTTCAAAATCATGCATGAATCACTCCGCGTGCTAGTTATCCAAACAGTGTATAACATAGAAATGGAATTGGTACATAGATCAAGTAATACCTTGTTCATTTTAAAGGACGAATGAGAAGCAAGAAAATCAACTATTGTGATTGGCTGGTTTTAAGCGAATCAGAAACGGAATAATGTAAATCACGTGTATTACATTAATTTGAAGTGTCCATCTGACTTCATAAATTTCCTGAATTCGGTTTTTGATTCAGTAAGAAGTGCACAATTTAATACGATAGGACTTGTTTTTTAAGTTTTTAGTTGTCATTTAAACATCCTTTTCAACAAACTTCTTTACACCTAGTTACTTCCGAATAAAAGTCTGTATAAAGTGAACAACATGAAACATAATACAATTAGGATTTATTTTCAGTCCTGATACAAATTAATTTATTTATTATTCTAATCTGATTAGTGTCAAACTCATGGTTTGTCAGTGCTTTGTTAGTTGGATTAAACTGTTATTACAACAACCTCAAAATATTTAGTCATACAAAAGGATAAGTGAACTAGTCAATACTACTATGTGTGACCTAAATTAATAAAAATCAAACGTGTATTTTTTCTGATGAAATATAGTCATCATGACAACTCATTGATTCAATTTTTATTTGTATTTTAATAGAATAACTGGCATAAGGCATTCTAATGACAAGGTGATTGTATTTTTAAATGCTTACGTTTTTTTAAAAGATAAATAGTGTAATGATAGTATAAATACAATAATAATATTGTGTTAGTATTCACAATTTGGAAGATTTGTGTTTAGAAAGTGTATGGGAATGAGTATGTGATTAGTTAGAAATTTAAATTATCGATTTAACAGGACAAACATGTTGACCACTATCAATTGATGATGTCATAGTCCCATGATAATCTGAACTGTCATGACGTGAAATTGCACTCATTGTACTATTTGTATTATAAAGGTGTTATGTAACTTATTTTAAAGACTTTTAGAAGGAATGATAACTCGATTAACTGTGAGATAAATCAGGTAAATTTTTAATATTCATTCTGTTATTTTTAGATTCGAATTCTAGTACAAAACACTATAATAGGTAGGAGAAATGTATGTTAAATGCGAGAAATTTCAAAGTATTTATATCATTTATATACATAGTCTTTAATCATCCATTTGTATCTTTCACTATTTTCTGATATCTAAACTGTCCTCTCTTCTGGACTCCAAGTGTTCTCCCAACGCCGTTCTTCCAATGCACTAAAAGTCTTCACAATTATTGTAACTTCGACGCCACGTTCAGCTACTTACAAACACCTTTATTAATAGCATCCACTATGCTAGTTGATTTGATTATTAATAATGAAGCAAATTACTCAGAATAATTTAATTAAATTTGGAAATAAAAATTATTTTCAACCCATAGTTCTTTTTCTAGAATGTTTTTATTTACATATGAGATATCCTGAGATTGTCATATCAAAGAGAGTTCATAAAAGACATGAATGAAGTGTTAGTTATTATGATTATTATTATTTATTTCATTGAATAGTTACTCTAAATAAATGGACAAGTGATGAGTAACGTAGGTTTCATCTCACATAAAATGTATATATTACCAATGTTATAGAAAAATGTAACTGTAAATAGTATGAATGAAAAAAGATCCATTTTAATTATTATTTTTTAAATAATAGATTTCTGTAGGAAGGGGGAATAGATCGATGTTGGTTAAATTTCCATGACAAAATAATTAGGTAAAAAGTATTTAATAAAACAATTTTATTTTGGGAGAAGTTTATTACGTGACACTTAAACGTATCTCACTTCCCTTGATTCAAACAATCATGTTTAAAAGTTTAGGTTACACAATAAGTGTATATTCTATTTTAATGCAAAAATCTAAATCTATATTATCCTTCTTTTTATCATTCATTTATCAACAACGATAAAAAACAATTAAAAACGAGACTATTCTAATCAATTACAAGTCAGTCTATAGTATAGTATTCATCATTGTTAGTGAAAATGCATGTTATGTAATAAAAAAGATGTATAGCGAGTTAAAAATCTATCGCGTGTTATAAATGTTCCAACTTTTTGTGATACCTATTATTAAAGTTGAGTTCATTTTTAGTAAAATTTCTGAATATTCATTAGAATAACACCATAGTTGCCATGATAATAAACGGAAAAGAGAAAAAATATTTCCCATGTATGTGTATAGGTGTGTGTGTGTGTGTGAGGGAGAGACAGAGAGGGAGATAGAGGCAAAGAAACAGAGAAACACAAGGCGATTAATTGAAAGCGTAAACAAGATCTGGTGAATTACGAGAAAAAAAGCCGCCAATTACGATGGCGCTAATAATCATTTATCATTCATTTATTCAGTGGTTAGTTGATTAGTTATCGACAAACATTTATTCTTTTTGTATACTTTAATTAAACATGCATAAAGATATATAATTTCAGATAGTCAATGCAATAAACATCTATCAAATAAAATCGTATCACCAACAGGTTGGATTAATGAAACAAAATACCCATTAACTTCGCTCTAAAAACAGATTTGATTAAAAATACTAAGTGAATGAATACGCACAGATATATGCATCAACTATCTTTTTTATAAATAGAAATGAAAAAAATGTTTTCATAAAAAATCTATTACCAAATCAAGTCATTATGAATGTTAAACTACATATAAATAGTACTCTTGAATTATAAAACAAAAGAGTTTACATAATTGAATAGTTACTTAGACATCGCATGTAAATGGATATCAGTTGTCTTTATCAGCTTGTTATAGTACAGTATTGATTTTAATTGTCACTATTGATTACTTATAAACAGAAAAAAGTTAAATAAGTTGAAACAATAAATAATAATGGAGAAAGAATCAGTTTTATAAACGTCTTTCTAATGACTGTCCGTATTAGGGTAATCAAATGAACATATTGATAATACAGACTACTTTTTGTAACTTGAAAGTATAAATAATTATCCAGAAATTATACCAACACTTCATGAAAACAACATCTGATAAACATATTCAAAAGATGAATGTCATAAATAAAAATTAATAAATATTTGAAAAGACTAAAATCCCATTAGAAAATATCATCCCACCTCGAGGAATTGTATAGATGGGAAACGAAGTAATTTAATTTTAAAAGTCCCAACCTTAACGTAACTTGCTACTCATTGATATATATATATATATATATATATATATATATATATATATATATATAATCCAAACCTTCTAAGTAAATACACAAAGGTTAGATAAATTCTTAACTAAGCATCTTAGTAAGACGAAAATAAAATATCTGTATGAGGTTGTGGAGATTATGAAGTCATTGATTGAGATCATGCACCAATTGGTGTTAGACCACCATTGAAAACCTGGAGGCATTGGATGTTTACGTTTCGTTGCCCTGTGGGACTCCTCAGTAGTGCGCATCCATGATCCCGCTCGTGGGATTCGAACCCATGGCCTTCAATCTCGCGCGCAAACGCTTAACTTACTAGACCACTGAGCCGGCATCCAGCGGTGTTATTGTATAACTTCAACCAATCCACGAAATCGAGCAATCATCTTCGATTGTTTGAAGTAGATACCTGTCTTTATCTGATATGGATTAGCGTGTGAGGGAACTCTCGGAGTTCTAGTGAGAAGCCAATTCGTGTCAGGTAGAGACAGGTATTTACCTCAAACAATGGAAGATGGTTGCTCGATTTCGTGGATTGGTTGAAGTTATACATTAACACCACTGGATGCCGGCTCAGTGGTCTAGTAAGTTAAGCGTTCGCACACGAGAATGAAGGCCATGGGTTCAAATCTCACGAGCTGTATCGTGAATGCGCACTGCTGATGAGTCCCAGAGTAAGACGAAACGGTCACATCCAGGTTTTCAGCGGTGGTCTAACAGCAATTGATTCATGATCTCAACGAAAAATAAAATAATTTATGAATTATAAAATATTCTGTAAGCAGGTTTAGACAATATTTAACCTTAAAATCTTCCATAAAAAGCTTATAAAATTTAATTATATTTATGAAATATAAATGCTCTATTTCACAGTTAAATAAGAATTTATTCAATTGTACATTTGTCGGGAATTTATTTCAAAGTGATAATGATACAAGATGAAATATTTTTTGGATTTTTAAGAGAAAAACAAATTTAAGAATATTAAACATAAAAATTATCATTGAAATAACCTTGGAGATTGAAATTGAAATAATCTCAATATTTTGCTTAGGTAATTGATTCACACTTCTTCAGGGGAATGATTAAAACCAATATTATTAAATAACAAATGACATTTATTATCTTTAAACCACACTCAGCGTTCAATTCCTGTTAAACTATTTGTTTAAATTTTGACGTATATTTATATAGCTGATTTATGAATAGTTTTAAAGTAATAAACTTTTCAGTATAGAAGATTATGGAACCTACATAGCTCAAATCAGGAACTGATTTTAGCTATATGATTACTGAAAACTAGTGAGTGCTGGACGGCAATTTTGTCCTAGTGTATAACATCTCAACGATTTGTGCCCACAACTCAATCAGGGATTGAACACAAGATATGCAATTTCCACAACACGCTATAATAACAACCAACTCCTGGAGTTCTAGTCAGAAGCTGTGACAGACCAGTGGAAATGAGTCGTATTAGGTGCGAGAAAAATATCACTAATGTTAAGGATGATGGTCACGCAATAACTCAAATCAAAAACAAACGTAAGCTAATTAGATGTTACTTGAATTGTTTAATGGTTAAGTATATACCTCAAGATCTAAAGGTTTTGAATGAAGTTGTGGAAGTATATACCTGAAAATTCCCATACTAGGACGAAGCGGCTTCTATTGTTTCCAATTTTTCAATGGTCATCTAACCAAAGATAGTCGGTTATATATATATATATATATATATATATATATATATATATATATATATATATATATATATATATATACTTTCAATAAATTTTACGACAATAGTAATTGCTTTATTAGATATCTTTCCGGTCCTTTTAAGTTGTCTA